ATTCCCCTCGAATTTTTTCACTGGCGTATAATCGTTCAAATTGTTCGATTCACACTTAAACATATCGTGTAAAAACGTTTCCCGTTGATATAAACGGGAAATATTTAAATATAGTTGGACGACAAGAGAAGACGACGTACCTAAATACCTTGTTATTTTTTTATAGAATATTTCAATTGCATGTTTTCGAAGTAGAAAACAAGCAAGACTAGATTAGCATAATTAGATTAGTAATTTTTATAGAAAAAAAAGGAAAATACGTAATGTTAGTACATTTTTCTACATATAATTCTTTTATATAATACATTGTATATATGACATAATATAACTATAATTTTTTACAGAATGATAAAACAAGCGTTTAATCATAGAAAGCAGACAGAGTAAAGCATTCTAACTTTGTGAACTAGTATCTCAGTTATTCATACAGTTATCGCGAAAACTGTCTTGAACAAAAGTTTCACAGCTTCAGGCGGAACTATGACACATACAATATTAAACATTTTCTTGAATATTTAATGTAACAGAATGAGAAGAAGCAAGCAAAAAATATCATAGATTCTTCTGTAATAGCATATTCAAATTTTATGATAATAATATCTTTATTGATTAAACTAATGCAAGTGTGGAATGAATTTTTATTTTATAATTTGCCTTATATTAGTATTCTTTGCATTAATATAAATTAATTTTATTATATTACAAAAAACGTTAGTGATTAATTACTCCGTAATATGATGCATTATATAAAAAGATACCTTATATATAATTTCTCCTGAAAATAACACTTTTATTTAAAGCTCTGTTCAACACAGCTACATATATAATAGAAATAATTTAGGTCATAAAGCTATAAATGCTATTGTATATACTGCATATTTCAGAATATGTAAGAACATATGAGAATATATTCCATAATATTTAGAAATTGTATGGAAATAATACGAGAATACAAAATTCGCTTATTCTAGAATTTAATGGCGGAGGATTAGTATCATTGTTAATAAATGAATTCGTGTTCAGTTTCTGAATGTCATAATAACCGCAAATTTCGAACAAGTTCAAAATTAAATATTTCTTAATTATATTATCAAAAGTATCATTAAAATTATTCATAAATAATCTTGTTTTATTTTTAATTAATATAGGGAAACGAGTTTACTAGACAGAGCATATCGTGACATAGTTACAAATTGGGAATTACATACAAAAAGTAGAAAAAGCAAGAATTATAATAAACTAAAAGAAAGAGAAGTTAGGAATCAGAGAAGAAATTCTCTCTCGAATATTCGCGTGGGAGTAGTTGACAGTGATCAGTTAATAACACCCGTGAATTTGTTAGCGCAGCAATTACACGTCACGACGTAACCGCAGTGCGCCTGGAGAGCCGCCAGAAACGCGAACGATGAAAACTTCCGGTCCATATGGCATATCCACGGGATACTAAAATCTTTCATATCTGTCGGCATATTCGCATATTTAACCCATGATATTAATTACTTATCGTATATTCATTCTCATGACATTTTAAATCTTCAAATATTATATGTTATTAAGATTACAATACAATTATAGATATGTACATATATGGGTTGTCATCGATTTTCATATTATTGATATAACAAAACAGTTATCTTTCGATTCTGCACTTGCGGTTTTAATTTTTCAAGCGAAAACAATGGTAAAATTTCTAAAATAAATCAAAAAATGTACAAATGGAATGAGCAGCGGGCAAATGCGCCACACGCATTAAATTTTTCATAGCAACGCGATGTGAATACCAAGGAAAGAGTCTTTACTTAAAAAGTCTTTGTGTGTGCGTGCGCACGTCGTCAAAAAGGGTGGCAAACTTTGCTCCCGGTCGGGCTCTCCCTCTTGTCATGGATGGCCATGACATCTTACTGGAGTTGCAAAATTCTGAACTTTATTTTCTCAAAGTTCTTTAAATTTTCTCAGAATTTCGTTCTCGTTGATAGCCGCAAAAATTTTGAAAAAAAAAATCGCTGAAACTTACGTGGTTGCTGGCATTGCTACTGACAAGATAATTGAGCCAATAACGGAAAAACATAAAAAAAAAGAGTAGGCTAGAAATAAACAATAATAAAATTGAAAGCTTAATTATAATTGTAGATTAAGCGTAAAAACGATTCAATCTCAAATGTATCTTCCAAAATATAATTTTAACATATACATAGCATTTTAGCATAGAAATTTTATAATATAAAAAACTAATTTCAGAGATAATAACCAATTTTTCTTGTTCTATTGTCGTCCTCGCTCAAATATATCATATATTATTAAGAAAAAGGAAATACCTACAAAGAAAAAAGAAACTTTTGACAAGTACTAAATTAATTTTTGCATTATTTTTTATAAAGGCAAACACGTGAAGATAACAGAAAAAAATTTTTAGAGATGCTACACAACACTATCCTCACACAGCGAGTGGTGCATGAATTTTGTAGCACGTTTGCACGTAGTAGTTTCGTCGCAAATGTCCGTTTTAGATATATGTATAATACGTATATGTATAGTCACCATACATACACAGTCCCTACACCTTATCTCGTCGCGTGTATACATGAATTATATTTCGCGTCGCGAGATTCTTGTCCTATGATCGACCCTAACGTCGGCAGGAATCTCGATGCTCACGAGGCGTGTATGTCACGCGTATGTTCTCGCGTAAGATTTCTAGTCATAATCGTGCCTAGCATCGTATAATTATAAACTATTAACTTGCCGTTCTGTGCATTATTACAACAGTGCTCGTATCTAGATTTTTAATGTATACCTCTGCAATATAAAATTAATTGAGAAAATTACGATAGTGTAGTGAATATAACACGGAGAAAGAGAGAGAAAGAGAGGGGAAGAGAATGTTTTCTAATAACTTATATAATAATTATCAAAGAAAAAATCATACAAAACATGATTCAGTAAATATCACAAATTCATTAAAAATTAATAATCATATATTTTAATTGTTACAAAATATAATATTTCATGTTTATCTAGATATATTATTTAACAAGTAATATAAATCACAAATGATAAGTTTTACAGAAATCTTGTGTCTTTCTGTACATTCTCTACGCTTGAAGGAATCTCTTTTAAATCAATTATCTCGTCTTTAATTATAATTTAATGATAATTAAATTCTGTTATATAGTTTAATCTGATAATACGGTAAGACAACGAAACCTTGCAGATATCAAGCAAGTTTTGGACATATTTTCTTTAGGATTTCTTGCTGTAATAGCGAGACGATTAAGGAACTTCTACCTCGGATAATAAATCAACTCATCTATTTCACTCAAACGCGCTCAAAAGATCTTTCTCTCTCTCTCTTCTCGGCTTAATATTCAAACTTTCTTAGGCACACGAATAAACATTTTGGTGAAATCGGCAGTGGAGTAATTTAGAAAGCTCGTAAACAAATTAACATTGCCAAATATTATCTGCACGGCAGAGGGTAGTGTATTATAGAATTATTTTAAAATTTTCAGCTCTCTCACATAAAAGTTATTTTTTGGTACAGAAGCATCTTTTTATTAGTTGACATTATTTACATTGATCATAAAGTTTGGAATTTGTCTCTCTCTTTTAGTGTCATAATTTTATAGAGTCTCTATAACATATCATAAACACTATACATATATAAAATTTTATTGTTAGCAAAATAACTATGAATCATTATAAAATTTTTATTTTGAATTTGATTAATCGTTCATTATATATACATAACTTTTATCCGCAAAACATTTATCACAATTCCTTTATATATATAATAATGCGTATTCTTTTAACAATAGCATGTATATCGCAAATTATTCGCTAACAAAACTAAATTTAATAGAGAAATATTTATAGAACTTTTGTGTTTAATACGATGTTGCGAAAATTCAATAATGGAACTACCTCATGGTCGTCAGTCACGTTTACTCGAAATCGGTCTCGCTCGAGCTCCTCTACACGTCGCTCAGATTGGCTCTATCGTGCCACGATAAACGCTCTTGCGAGTGTGAGATCCAATGATGGAGCGCTTTACAAAGCTCTCGAAGTTGCCGTCGCAACTTCGGACTTTATAGCCGCGCCGAGCCGAATTAACCCTCGCCTCGTTTCACAGCGTGGGGTCAAGTGTTGTAGAACGCCGGAGGAGGTCTGCATAGCAGAGGGTCACGTAAGCGTTAAGTGGCTGATTTCACGTGTTGCGATAATCACGACGAGCCGCCTCGATAAGCCATCGAAGGTGCCTGTCGACGTTCGCGATCCCGAGCGTGTTTCCCTTCCCGTATAACCACCCGCACATGTATTTCTCTACGATCGACACGTTACGTCAAAAATGATGACCGCATCGCCGTGACTTCGCGCAATCGCGTTATTTCGCAATCTCGCGTTATTTATCTCGCATAATTTTGTGCAATCGTGAACCTTGAATTCTCTCGCGTAAGAAGACGAATGCTTTTTTAATATCTTGAGATTTTCCGCGGCTCGACACATATGAGAAGAACGAGGATATAACGTAACATTTTAAATTAGCCTTTAAATATTCCATTCAAAAGAAATTTACGAATCTTGAAAATATTTTTAATTATTTTCTATGCACATGCTGTTTGTTGGAGTAAAGTTTGACTTACGAAGAAAAACACTTAATGAGTTATCGCTATTTATACAATACTTTTGTAGGTAGATAAAATCTACCTTAAAATGCTTTATACATTTAGTTATATTCTTGAATTGTCAAATTTATCTAATGATTACTATGTTACTTTTATTTTCAAGATAATATATTTTAAAAAAATATTTTGCAATAAAAATAACTCGGCAAGTACCATGTCATTTCTATCAGTTTTCAGAAAAATAAAATTCGATAAAAAAAGCACGGTACACAAGGTATATGAAAGGCATAGAAAGGCTTACGTGAATCCTCGTATTTCTCTAGTGTATCTGTGAACACAAATGATTACCAGTCTAATAAGTCACCTGTGTCATACCAGGACTTCACGTTGGATTTTTACTTCCGACAATTCTGGACGGATCCACGACTCGCGTTCAAGCAAAGAACGGGCGTCGAGACGCTCAGCGTCGGATCCGAATTCATCAAGAACATTTGGGTACCCGACACCTTCTTTGTCAACGAGAAGCAGTCATACTTTCACATTGCTACCACCAGCAACGAGTTCATTCGTATTCACCATTCGGGAAGCATAACGCGTAGCATACGGTGAGTATAAAACATTTATATTTATATAGAGCTTCTACAATTATATACCTATATATATCCGATTTTAGTAATATTTTTAAAGCATTAGATTTTTTGCATAATAAATCCGCATTTTAAAACCATTTAATCGCATCCTTTTTCCCTACTTTAACAAGAAGGTTTAATTTATAATTAAAAAAAGATATGCGAGCCAGTTAAGCAGGTATAATTCAGAAATGTTACTTTCACCATCCGGGGAATACATTGACGATATTTTCTGTCGCGGCTGTAAATCGAGCCCATTGTCCTCTATCACCATAAAACATTCGTGGCACTTCTGGGACCAATTGTGCCCGGCACGACAAATTTGTTCCCTGTAGCAGCCTCCGCCCCTTCTTGCTTGACACAGTTCGTATCATTTCTCCCTATCTGACCCCTTCTCGAGCGACCGGGAGTGTTCCGGTATTAACGCGCCGGCTATATTCAGACGATCCATGCATACCTAACTTGCGCTCCCTCGCAATATCGTTCCATTATATTACATCCTCGACTTCCGAATCGGAACTGCCGAATCGAGCTCCTCGCTGTCGGGAATGGAGGAAGAATATCGATGAAGCAGCGCGCGCTCGTTTACGTGAATAAATTCTTCCCCGCTATAGAGAACGGGGATCATCGATCACTGTCGCCTGCGCATACGAATCATGCGAATACGGTACGTCTATGTAACGTTTCATACGATCTCATCAAAGACGAGAATAGACACGTATTAACGATATGACATGTCAAATCAATACGATTTGGGTCTTACATGTTAATCTCAGCGCGACTCGAACGTAATGAGGTCGACTACAAATTAATTTATACATATACACTTAGGCGCGTATACAAACACACATACATCAGCCTTATTCGGGCGCAAATGGATTGGCTATAAATTTCCCTATTCGTAAGATCGCAAAACACGTCGTCTCGAGAAGCGGTCGTTAAACGGATTTCAATTGAATGTGTTTCAGCTTAACGATTACAGCGTCATGTCCCATGAACTTGCAATATTTCCCGATGGACCGGCAATTGTGCCATATCGAGATCGAGAGCTGTAAGTACGCAACACACATGCGCGAATGTACATACTTATAGACATATCTTATTATATAGGTACATATAAATGAACAAAATACGATTTCTCACAGAGTTCGACATCCTCGCCTATGTTTCTTTTACTCGACATACTAACACGTACATACATACTTACGCACATTATAATAAAAGTCAGAGAGACTTTCCCATGCATTTCTATATTACTTTTCAGAATGACAATCGACTCGTCGTATCTTTTTGGCGTCAATCATGCACGTGTACTTGCTCGATGTAATTAAAAGAAAAATTACCAAAGATTTTTTCTGACACATGTAGAATCAATCAATATAATCGCAATATACGAGATATATATATGTATATATATATATAATGATAGGATATATCTCAATAATAAATTTACTGTGTTAACCTATAAAATAATTTAAAAAATAACAACTATGTATTTAATAGAGATAAAAGTAAAATCTTTAAGAAACGACGATCGTCAATTACGAGTAATATCTTTGAAAAATGCTGCGGTGTCGCATTCACTTTAGTATCATTTGATTGGCCGCAATTGCAGTTCTCAATAAAATAGATTGTAAGATATAAACGATCAATTCCAGTATATGAACTCGTGCGTGTAATTCCAGAATAACATCGAAAGATATACGCAGAAAGTATTCTTATCAAAAGTCGATTGTCGCTGATTCAACGCGATTCAACTGTACATCGTCTTGAACCTTTTTTTCAGATAAACACAGAAAGATGTTTCTACCGTGTATATTTGCGTCAAACATAAAAAAAAAAAAAGAAAAAACAAAACTTTATATTCTCCTCTATCACACGCTCACACAGAGAATACTGTCAACTTCCATAACCTGTCACTTTCCACTTTTCCTTTCTCCCTTCCCTTCCTCTCACCTTCAACTACCAACGGTCTCTGCCTCCTCTCTCGCCCTTTTCCCGACATCAGGTTTTACTTCCTTCTTTCTTCTCTATCTCCCCTCTCTATCTGTCTATCTGTCTGTCTGTCTGTCCGTCACTCGCCACTTCACACGCTCACTCACACGATCAGTCAGCCACACAGTGAGAATCACTCCCATTCACCTCGTTCACTCACTCGCTCACTCACTCACCCGCTCTCGCTCACACACTAGTTGGGTTTCTCTTTTTTTTTTTTTTTTATTCCATACACGATGATTGTACGTGTGTAACAACATGGACTTGCAAAATCGGGCATTTATCTTGTTGCCTTGTTCTTTTTATTTTTTTCTCTTGCGAAGCAAAAATCGATCAACAAAAAAAGATTTACGTGGCATTACAAATATTAACACAAATAGAAAAATATGAAATGGTGTGTGTATAAAATTTTGTTCTTCTTTGTTCCATAGTTATGGTTTTGGCTATAAAAGCCCGATTCTGCAATTAAGCACAGTGTGCGGTTAGCAAGTACCTTAAGGAGGAGCTTTGACGCGTCGTATAACAACGGCTTCTGTCAATACGCGCATTATATACACAAACTTAATCATATCGACGAGACATGTCTCGATTGATCGAGTCATATTGTTACAAACATAAAAATCATAGATTAACTAGAAGTTGTAATGCGCCATGGAAACGGCATAATGCGCGGAAACACATGCGAAAAGATTATCACCAGTATATGTGTGCGTGCGTATGCGTGTATGTGTGCGTGCGTGTGTCGATACGTGTGATAGCGCTAACGTTTCACTGTCACGAGCTCGTGTTGTGATTGTCATCATTACTGCAAATTGCACGGTGTGTTGATGTGCAAAAACAGCAAACGAAAATTTCAAACGTCTTTTTTAAGATCGTTTCATTATTTATCCACATACGCTCGCATCATGAAATAATTATCTTTGTTCATTGTTATTGGCGTTAATAATTCGTACACATGATAATACATGTACTACGCAAATTGCCTGAATAAATTAACATGATATGGTTACTCCAAGTCAGCATTATGATAATGATTACATAATGAATAATTAAAAACGCGTGTAAACGATTTTATACAGAAACGATTGGGTTTGTAGAATATTTGCAGAAATATGAAAGCAAAATCTGCAAGACCACATTGAACATATCGAAAACAGTTGACAAAAATGGTTACGAACTTTAATCGAACATCTTCGATCGTACCAGACTGAATCGCTCAACATTGCCGATTTATATAGGATGATAGAAAAAGTTTGGCTTTAATTTCGCCCCCGCTATATTAAAACCGACTCAATCGGTCGTGGAATAGGGTCGAAGGGTCACCGGAAGTCCGGCGTACGAGATATCGTAGAGAGTTGACCAAGTTGGTCGATTAGTTTCGTCGAGTAGAAAGCTCGGACCTCTCGCAGGCGCCCTTTCGTCCTTAATTGGTCAGACTGCTCGAACGAAAGTTATTACGATCATTATAAGAGTTTTGTTACGATATATTCCCACAATACGTATTACGGAGAAATGTTCGCATAAGTCGCTAAACTTTCGAGACGATTAGAGAGATTTACGAACTTCCATTAACTTTAACATGGATTTTACTGCCTTTGTCGCTTTCTAATTGAAGTTTTTGCAAGGAAAAATAAACTGTTAAATACGGTTACTGATATTGATAAAGTCAATTGGAACGATAAATATAACTTAGCAAGTTATATTAGTTTGATAATTTAATTTTACATTCTTTTCTAGACTTGTTTACGAGTATATGGTATTAATGTATTCATTCTGAAATAATATTACGTCAAATTTCGTTTGAGAATCACATTTATTGACAGACTGAAAAGTGTCAATAAATGGAAGCTAATAATATTACACTCGCAATCCCCTGTGTGGTTTAACCCGCGATTGTTCCAAAATCTCTTTGTTTCTATTTATAATCGTAGATTTGATGGACGTTTTTGCGCGCAAATTCTACCTGAAACGTATCGCGGCTGATGGGATCTATAAAAGGAGAAGGCGGGGATGCGCCAAATTTGTAGAACTCTGGAGAGTTTCTTGATTAGTTTCGCTGGATTGAAGTGCCGGATCACGAACGTCGTTTCGCTCTTAACTTAGCCATTAAGCGCGATATTATTACCCTTCCCCGTATCGATTTTGTATTACTGCGATGGCGAGAATGGTGCTACTTCGTGAGTATTTTTGCAACCAACCGCAGTTTCTCACAATCTTTTGATTGCGTAAAAAAAGAAACATAAGCGCCTTTAGCTGTATTCTATGTGCACGATAAAATAAAATCTTTTATGCGCGAATAGTCGTTTCGCTCGTCTTACGGGTATCACTAAATTCATTTCAGGGGATGTATAATCGTGCAATATCGCGACCACGGATGAAGATAAACGTGCAGTTTGCAGTAATCACGGATCGTAGCGAACGAGTTCGATCGCGTATCATTATTCATCGCTTGTCGACACGAAACGACTGCGACTTTCACGGTAGAAAAAGCGACAAAGTTCGGATTACTTTCCTGAGGTAGCTTCGACTATAAAAAAAAAGAAGCGATATACGTATCCAATGACCAATACGTTTACAGGACACGCTTTGTCACATCCTACGCAAAGACCGTATGCGAACGTATATTTACGAACATTCTCCGAGAAGGGTCTCCACTCTACCAAGTTACCGCTGACTGTGAGTCGTCACGTCGGTTTTAGCTGAATTCACGCGTAATTTCTCAATGATCGCACGGTCATTCGACAATGAATACGACTAATGACCGTGCGTCTGCACGAATACTAAACTGAATAGACACACGACGTATCCCTCTTACTACTACGCTGTCGTTGTCGAGCGGAAAGTTCCTCGCCGATTACATACGCGTATGCAATTAATCGAAAGCATCAAAACGTGAACGATCCGCAGTCATCGTTTATCAAACTGTATGAATCGAGCGAGAATTTTTTTTTCGGATTGGCAATTAACAGAAATGCTGAGTGAAGGTATCTAGTCCGCGTACATGAACGTACTAACACGTATACACGAGAGAGTAAAATTTCTACGAGATCGATGGCGACTTTCTCCGAAAAAGACATGTCAGAGAGAAAGATCACGGTGAGCTAGATACGTCACGAGGCATACGCACAATTGTAAATATACAATATACAAAACGAGAAGAGCTCTCAACGTGCGCTGCTGCCGAAAATCGATCCCGGAATCAAAAAAGAAGGGCGACGAAAGTGTGCTGTTTAAACACTACTTCACTACTTTGCCACTCACCACTACCACTGACCACCGGCCATCACTTAACCATCACTTACCGACTCCCCTCTCCCCCGACTTTGAAGGGCCTCCGACATATAGCACTGAGCCTCGTGTCCGGGGACGTAGTAAGGGCCGACGACGGCCAGCCCCGAAGGAGGCTAAACCCAGAAACGGCGTGTCAACAATGGTCCGACCGAATTAAAACGCATTGTGCATCTAGCCCAGCGCATGTAGGAACGAAACGACTGCAACATTACCCATGGCGTACCACGCCGTGGTCACGTTATCGGTATGCCTATAAATCTGCTTGCGATCTAATTCTAATCTATGCGATTCTCTTGTTCCGGTATCTTCCTTCCTCCCTTATCTCCCTTCAAGCAACCCCTTTGTACGTATGGTAGAGCAATAGATGTTAAGCTAATCTAACATAGTTCGGAAACAGCATGCGTCGGCATAAATATTTACTTTCGGTCTGCTCCAGAGAACAAGATTTATGAAAAACAAGATAAGTTGGATATTATGAGAATATACGAGATAAGTAAATTGAAACAATGGTATTTAACACGATAACTTGCATGAATTATTTGTTAATATATAATAACGATTAAGATCTTACATATATGTGCCTCTTTTGATTTAAATTTTAAAATTTCTATTTCATAATAATAATAGTCTGAAATCTTAATATCTTGCATCAATATTGATCGTTTAATGGAAAAGATCGCATTCTTAAAAAAAGATTCATGTTTGTACATAAATTACTACATTAACATACAAATAGAGAAATCATCATAAGAATGCGATCCCTTCATGTGTACATTCAATAAATTTAATTAATTCAATCCTGATTCTCGAGAAGATCTCGATAATATCATACGTTTGACCAAGGATAATATTTGAATTTTAACGGAAGGAGACTGTTAAGCTTGCATGGAAATTCGCGTTTCTCACAGAACACGGAGAATGGAGCATGTAGCACAGAGCATGCAATACAGGAGATGAAATGCGCAGCGTAAAGCATGTAGCACATATATGTAAATCTACCTAATCCCCCGAGCCTGTGTGTGTCACCGTAGCATGCCATGCACGAAATTCTTTCTTTTTCTTTGTCTCTTCTCTCTGTCTTCTCTTCTCTCTCTTTTTGTCTTTCTCTTTCTCTCTCTATCTCTCAGCTTCTCCATATCTATTTATATATTTTCCACTTTTCGTCTTAAACCTAAACTTGCTCTGCCAGTACCATAGTCCTCGGTATTTTGCTAATGTTGCCGCAGTCCTTCCTTCCTGCAGTATTCAAGAGCCACTATTACAACCCTGCCCTCTTCTCCCGTTCTCTTCCGACCATTTCTACCTCTCGTAATGCTTAATGTTGCCCCCAATCCAGGATCTCTTTATTAAAACTTTATAAGAGAGTACCAATTTATATCTACGCTGCACTTAATTATGCGACGATCATCGGCAGAAATAACGAACAAACGGACGTTAATATTTTTGCTAATCTTTTCTTCGAGGCGGGCTCATTACTGCTGGTGGATGCGATATTCTTGTTCCATAATTTTTATTTAGGCTCATTTGCAAGTGTAATGAGCGTAGCAGTCGGAAACATGCAATTGAAAAAAATATATCCGAGATATTATGAAACGTCAGCATTACTATCCTCTCATTAATATGACGAGCGTAAATTTCTCACGCGAGAGCCGCGAGTGAGTAAAACCCGTTATTTCCGCCGCTCACCGGCAGTGCCGAACACGCCCGTCGCGAATCGTACTGTCATTACCGAAATCGTGGTTTTGCGCGAGGTCGCATACAGCTGTGTCGTGACGTATAACCGAACGGGATAAAAAACGTCGCGGCATCCAAAATCGGATTCCAAAAACAAAAGCAATTAATCTGGCATATTCGGAGGCGTACCGCTTAATCCACGTTTGGCCGATGCTCGCGCAATGTGGCCGCCACCGCGACGGAATGCCACTTTGGTGTCTGGAATGCGGTGTAATGATCGTAATCACCTAAGATTCAGTTACGGAGGAATGTTTCTCCGGTGCGGTATGTACGCGCTGGAAGCCACGCGAAAGGAATTAAACGGCACAGTTCTAAACGCAAATTTTGATCGATAAGTAAAAAAAAAAAAAATAATAATAATAATCGATTGCAGATTATTCATTGAAAGGAGTGAAAAATAGAGGAACCACAAATTAATAGATTGCATTAGAATCTTCACTTTCTGATGCAGAATAAAATGTCATCGATCAATATCAAGTTTCGCGTGCCTTCGGCCGTCGTAAGCGCACAAGCTCGGTTTTGGAAATATCATAGACACGTCGGCGAAGGCATTACTTTTCGTGAATAGAAAATATCAATATAAATCTTGATATAAAAACTTACAATTTTTTTTTTATATAGATTCAAAGATAAGATATCAAAAACCGAAATTCTCCTGCAGAATGACATTGCTCTACTTTCGCTATAAAAAAACTTACAACTTTGCGACATAAAATTCTTCCATGTGGAAATAAAATTCAGCGTTCACGACAGTTTTTCTTTTTTATATCTATGATAGTGCATACTTGCGAGAAAATTTCAGAGTACTCTTTTTAAATCACGGTAAAACATATAAATAAATACATCTTTTTTGAGATTATAATGCCTGATTTGATAACGTCTATGATACAGCGGCACGAAGGGCATCCTAAATCGATTCCGCGCGGAGAGAAATTCATGCTATTTCCCGATAGAATTGGATCGTGACGCAACAACGGGAACCGCTTTAGGTTGCTCGTGATAACTTTGCTTCTAATTACTGTACTCCCCGAGGTACCTGCCCTCCTGTCCCGAACCGAACACTACCTCAGTGTCTAATTACTGTATGTTAGAGCGAAGATATTTGTGTTCTTGTTCTCCCGGCAGTTGGATACACAATGCGCGATATTCGGTACAAATGGAACGCCGGCCTACAGTCGGTCGGCATCTCGAACGAAGTGGAACTACCGCAGTTTCGCGTGCTCGGTCACAGGCAACGACAGACAACCATACACCTATCTACAGGTAGATATTCCCCTCTTATTCGTTCTTCCTTGGTCCAAAAGTTCGCGTCAATATAATATATGTATATATATATATATATTATCAGAATGTGCCCTCCAAGCATAATAATTACCTTCGCGGTATAATAATGCCATTAATGCGAGATAATAATCTTATCCCAGGAATATGTGTAAATATGCACCGTATTCACGCGGGATCACGATTTACGCAGAATTCCCATGATGCATTATATATATATAATGTGAATCCTGTTTTTACTCGCACCGATATGCACCGATCACTGTCATCTTAGCGCGAATACGATTAATTATATAAGAACGAGCTTATTCTCAATGGACTACTGCGTAGTCTTACGACCATTCATATCGACCGATCGACTGATCGATTCATCGGTTTTGCCCTATACTACGAAAAACGCAGACGTTAGTTGAGTTACGCGTATCCATCATTCCCAGACGTGATCTCCTCTTCACGCTTGTAGGTGGACGGTGTACTATTTTCACTTTTATTGTATCTTTTATTATATGTATTAGTATGAATTTGTAAAGAGATGAACGTTCCGGTTTATAGAGCTTGTAATTTAGATATCTTCCAATGCGCGGATTAAATAATATGGATTTCCACATATGTATCTCTATAACAGATACATAGTTTATATAAGTTGCTAATGAAATAGTATTACGTCCATCTCTTTTTGGCCTAACATCCACCATCTACATCAAAACAATAATCGACACGACGGACTCGTAAATATGGATAATACGCGCCTTTTGCTTCTCGATCGTGCTTAATGATCGTGAAGATTGTCCACGATCTCTCATTACACGTCAGATATATATTCCGTTTACACGCTCCTTTAAAACATAGTTTAATGTGGGCTATCGATAGCTCTCATCGCGAGAGCGATTTCTTGCGAAGAAGGACAGAGAGTAAGATAAACTGAGAGGGACAGATAGATAGAAAGAAAGAGAAAAGGAACAAAAATTATGAACAGAAAGAAAAGGGAGAAAGTGAAAGAGAGCGGACTCGTGAGGTTTGATGGGGGTGCGAGGTAAGTGGAGGCCCCCTCGGAGCTGAAATGCGTTTGAGGGCTTCCGCGAAGGTACGTACCAACCGCGGGGGGTCTCTCTATTTTTTCAGTCGGATACACGATGAGGGACATCCGGTACAAGTGGAACGAGGGCCCGAACAGCGTCGGAGTCAGCAACGAGGTCTCCCTGCCTCAGTTCAAGGTCCTCGGTCATCGTCAACGTGCCATGGAGATTAGTCTTACCACCGGTAACGTATGAACACAACCCCACCCCCCACCACCAACAAATAATTGTTCAACCCTCGCTTTTAACGGCATGGGTAAGGTGGAGAGACACGTGAGCGCTATCCGATGTCCGCAGGCGCAATTGCCGCTCGTAAGAGAAACCGTCATAATCCTGTGTACCTTACTTACATAAAGCCGTCGATCGATCGATCGATCTCTCTCTTTCTCGCGATCTCACAGCCTCGTCGAATAGCGGAGCTGGCTGGCACTCTGGTTCGCCGCGCCGGCCCGAATTCGAACGATCAGTTGCGGTTCATACAAATTCATACTAATACATATAATAAAAGATACAATAAAAGTGAAAATAGTACACCGTCCACCTACAAGCGTGAAGAGGAGATCACGTCTGGGAATGATGGATACGCGTAACTCAACTAACGTCTGCGTTTTTCGTAGTATAGGGCAAAACCGATGAATCGATCAGTCGATCGGTCGATATGAATGGTCGTAAGACTACGCAGTAGTCCATTGAGAATAAGCTCGTTCTTATATAATTAATCGTATTCGCGCTAAGATGACAGTGATCGGTGCATATCGGTGCGAGTAAAAACAGGATTCACATTATATATATATATATATATAATGTGAATCCTGTTTTTACTCGCACCGATATGCACCGATCACTGTCATCTTAGCGCGAATACGATTAATTATATAAGAACGAGCTTATTCTCAATGGACTACTGCGTAGTCTTACGACCATTCATATCGACCGATCGACTGATCGATTCATCGGTTTTGCCCTATACTACGAAAAACGCAGACGTTAGTTGAGTTACGCGTATCCATCATTCCCAGACGTGATCTCCTCTTCACGCTTGTAGGTGGACGGTGTACTATTTTCACTTTTATTGTATCTTTTATTATATGTATTAGTATGAATTTGTAAAGAGATGAACGTTCCGGTTTATAGAGCTTGTAATTTAGATATCTTCCAATGCGCGGATTAAATAATATGGATTTCCACATATGTATCTCTATAACAGATACATAGTTTATATAAGTTGCTAATGAAATAGTATTACGTCCATCTCTTTTTGGCCTAACATCCACCATCTACATCAAAACAATAATCGACACGACGGACTCGTAAATATGGATAATACGCGCCTTTTGCTTCTCGATCGTGCTTAATGATCGTGAAGATTGTCCACGATCTCTCATTACACGTCAGATATATATTCCGTTTACACGCTCCTTTAAAACATAGTTTAATGTGGGCTATTGATAGCTCTCATCGCGAGAGCGATTTCTTGCGAAAAAGGACAGAGAGTAAGATAAACTGAGAGGGACAGATAGATAGAAAGAAAGAGAAAAGGAACAAAAATTATGAACAGAAAGAAAAGGGAGAAAGTGAAAGAGAGCGGACTCGTGAGGTTTGATGGGGGTGCGAGGTAAGTGGAGGCCCCCTCGGAGCTGAAATGCGTTTGAGGGCTTCCGCGAAGGTACGTACCAACCGCGGGGGGTCTCTCTATTTTTTCAGTCGGATACACGATGAGGGACATCCGGTACAAGTGGAACGAGGGCCCGAACAGCGTCGGAGTCAGCAACGAGGTCTCCCTGCCTCAGTTCAAGGTCCTCGGTCATCGTCAACGTGCCATGGAGATTAGTCTTACCACCGGTAACGTATGAACACAACCCCACCCCCCACCACCAACAAATAATTGTTCAACCCTCGCTTTTAACGGCATGGGTAAGGTGGAGAGACACGTGAGCGCTATCCGATGTCCGCAGGCGCAATTGCCGCTCGTAAGAGAAACCGTCATAATCCTGTGTACCTTACTTACATAAAGCCGTCGATCGATCGATCGATCTCTCTCTTTCTCGCGATCTCACAGCCTCGTCGAATAGCGGAGCTGGCTGGCACTCTGGTTCGCCGCGCCGGCCCGAATTCGAACGATCAGTTGCGGTTCATCATAGTTCTACATTTCTTCGCTCAATTGAAATTCTGGGTAGACGCAATTATCTTCGTATTATCTTCGTAGACGTTATGACGTACCACCGTCAATCTCTGCGTCATCTTCTCTTGTGGCGCGAGTAATTGTGACTTTCAATGATGTAACATTCACTTGATTCGAAAACGACCTTACGTCACGAACATTGCCTCAATCTTTCATTCTTCAATGCTTCGTACGCTCCTACTATCCACTGATTTCGCCGCAGGCGGCGATTAGATGATGCACTATCATGGCTAACGACACGGAAGGCAGGTTAATGTCTTTCTTTCTCCTCGCTGCTTCTTCTTCAATAGTGGCGCACAAGAAATAAATTGCCGCCAATTCGCTAAAACGGGAAAGAGCCATTATGGGATACGAATTGCGAGACAACTCGATTCTCCATCTTCGTCGATTCTTCATCTTTTCCCTTTCGCAATCGCATCTCGAATTTCTTGAACGGCGCACGATACACGCCGCCAGCAGTTCATACGGCAACGTGCATGCACGCACATCTACATTGGCAGATATATGTACACAACAACGGGCACAAAGAGTCGCGCATCAACAACGAGAGTTTCACTTAACATTCAGCCAGCTCTGGCGCGCCGTATTTCCGGCCGACGCAAGAAATGGAGAGAGCTACTCGCAAACAATAAAACCGTTTTTCCTGGCAGCAGAAGCTAGCAACGGAACAAAGAGAGATCAAAGGGTCGAAGGGAGGAAAGTACAGAAAAGAATGAAGGATGGAAGAAGGAGAGAAAGAGAGAGAGATGCAAGGAAGGAGAAGGCGAGAAAGAGAGAGAGAGATAAACGAATAGTGAGGAGGAAGGACAGTGAGCACGGGAGATAAAGAGACATTAAATAGCGCCTCTCCGTCTCCCTGTCCTGACCTTCGATCTTTTAATCGTAGGGAATTACTCGCGGCTGGCCTGCGAGATCCAGTTCGTACGGTCGATGGGCTACTACCTGATCCAGATCTACATACCCTCGGGGCTGATTGTCATAATATCGTGGGTGAGCTTTTGGCTAAACCGAAACGCGACCCCCGCTCGGGTGGCCCTCGGAGTAACCACTGTGCTCACTATGACGACCCTAATGTCCTCGACGAACGCGGCGCTACCAAAGATCTCCTACGTCAAGTCCATCGACGTCTATCTGGGCACCTGCTTCGTCATGGTCTTTGCCTCGTTGCTCGGTGAGTGCGATCGTGTACTCTTCCGTGCCTTTACGTCGCTGCCATTAAGCTTTCCATCCTGCGTCCTCTCATATACTCCGTATAGCTCGGAGCCGTGCCGTTCCAGTAGCGAGCTCGTAGAGTATCGTAGACGGATACTTGTGCAGGGCTCACGTGACAAATGCAAGGGACCCATTTTCCTCGAAATCGTTACTTATTATCGGCGATGAGAGAGAGCTCGTTGTTCGATACTATCGTTACGTGATAATACGGCGCCTCGAAAATCGTTTTCACAAAGCGTTTGCAAAAGCATGAAAAAGTCAATGCGGTAAAAGTCCCGCGGATTTATCTAATCGATTAGCTGTAACACACGGCCTTATACACATACACATACATACACACATTGTTGCGTTTTCATAACTGCGATCGCGAGTACCTCATTACGTATAATACCAAGGTACTTCGCGGTCGCGGTGCTCTGCATGGCAGGGTTTCCAGGGAAATGGCTTTCTTTCATCTGCACGTGAGCTCTACACAAGTACCGGGAGCGCAAGCATGAGTGAGATTCTCGACGGATGGAAGTGGGGCCCGTGAAAAACCGGGCTTTCCGCCCGGGTATTACAACGGCAGACGTGTCGTGGCATTGAATGGTTACGTGTTTTCATTCCCGTGGATTCTTCTTCTTCGCAGAATATGCCACGGTGGGATACATGGCGAAGAGGATTCAGATGCGGAAGAATCGCTTTCAAAAGATAGCTGAGAGCATGAAGGCCGCGAGTGAGAATCCAGGACCGCCGCGCGTACCCGGCGATCATGGCGATCACGCGCCTAAGCAAACTGTGAGTAACGTCGGCCAGAGCGTCGACGTGCCCAAGTTTCTTTTTCTTCCATGCAGAATGTCGTTTCGTCACCGCGAAATTTAACCAGGAGATCCAGACGTACTAATGCTCTTCTGGACGAGTTAACACGCTTTCTTTCAGCGCATAGGCGATCGGCTCTGTCGATACATCCAGACGTCGATCGTGGCACAATTATATTTATCATAACATAATCATAATACTTGCTTCATGATTTTATGGCTCCCGAGAGTCACATGACAAATATCCATGTTTGTTTCGTTTACATTAGCATAACGAAGAAACTCCCATCGCTCGAAATAAATTTTAAATGACCAATTTTAAACAAAGAAGATAGCGCGTGGTATTGAGTGACGTAATAGTTGCTCCAAAAATTCAATATCTTCAATAATCATCAGCGGAAAACGGACATTAGAGCTAATCGAGCTCTTATCCTCGTCACAAGGGCAGGCTCAACAGGACGGAGCCGAGCATTATCCTCATTCCGGCTCAGCACATACTAATCGCGCGATTTAAATATGCACTTTTTCCCCCAAAAAAACTAGAAATAGCAGGCTCGATTCGTGAAAGGTCAAAAGCTAAAAGGTTCTGCGAGATGAATTCTCATTCGGCCGCGCAACACGCCGGACAGCGTGTTTCGTGCCACCACGGATACGACGCACTATAAATTTTCTTTTAATCTTGGGTATTGTAGACCGGAAAAATGAAAAATATTAAAAGGCCGAATGAAAAAGAAAAAGAAAGAGTACATTGTGAGGGAGAGAGGGGGAAGAAAGAAATAAATCAACAGATGACAGGGATAAACGAAACGGACGACAAAAAACGCTCGTAAAATGTCGGCAAAATAAGACATTTTAATTAATTATTACTGGAAAGTTAATTTTTCATGATTTGGTGGTATATATTTTTAATGATAATATAACTATCTTCATTATATATATGTATATGCATACAAATATAATTAAGACAGTTCTATTCAATCATTACACACACATATATATATATCTTTTACAGCTAATAAAATTATCCCCTTTAAAATATTTAAAAAAGGACAACTAACAAATTTAATATTTTTGATAATTTTATTAATTTTATTTTTTCAGAGAAATGCACCTCCATTTGATAATAAAAGTAATAAAATTGTCAAAATTATCCCACAATCTTACATCATCCTACAATATCATATAATATCATAATCATATAACGTCTGTGTGCGCAGTCGTTAATATTAAATGAATCAAGAATCAAGTTCTTATAGTAATCCTGCGCGTCAATAATTTTCTACGTCAAATAGATACAGATCTATTTCTCCCTTTGCATCTCATCCCGACAGTACCTATAAATAGCACCATATACACCAGCTTTTAATTGAATTTTCACAAATCTCTTTGGCTTGAGCACGAGCAGTCGCACCGCGCGTTTCTATAAACCGCGGTCTTTTTACGAGAGACTTTCCCTCTTTTTACACTTCGTTTAACCGTATAAGGTAACAGATACGAGTCGCGCAACAGCGACATAAAGGCAGGTAAGTCTCTCGAATACTGATCGCCCCTGATAACCACATAAAATCAGACGTCACCGCTATTGAACGATAAAAATACACAATGCCCGGCCCTCGGTTGTCGCATGCCAATCCGACAAAGTAAGGGGGGTAAACCTCGGGTGAGGAACACCCCACGGCGAACTGCCGTGTCTCTTGTAAGTGGTCCCATGTTGTCCAGGAGGTGCGGTTCAAGGTGCACGACCCAAAGGCACACAGCAAAGGTGGGACACTTGAAAACACCATAAACGGTCGCGCCGATGAGGAAACGGCGGGCGCACCGCAACATATTATTCATCCTGGCAAGGACATCACCAAGCTCTACGGTATGGGTAGACCATGTACGCACTTTTATATCACTATTTAACCCTTCGCCTGGCAAGCTATCAAACAGAGTATTCGGTTCTTAGCTTGGCAGGCTGTCTATTTCAACGAGCTTCTGTGAACGGGGCATATAATAAACATCACTGTACGGCTTAACCGTCAGCGAGCTTATAAAGCCATCATGCACGTAGCATCATCGCCGGGCCCGGCAAGGCCGTCAATATATATATAAAATATATATGGTTATCGAGTACTTTAAATTTTGCCAAGATTATGCAATTATTCATGGTCGATGATGCCACGCGCCTGCGACCGTTGTACTATATATATATATTTTTCTGCGCTTCAATCACTGTCCGAAATGGCTTGTCACTGATTATGCTATGAAAAGCTTCTTGCATTGAGAAATTTTTATATAAGATTTATTTTTTCAAGCATTACGATGCACTATATTTAGACGCTTCTTTCTTGTACTCTCTCGAGAGGCACCGCGCGAAATCGGAAGCTCACTGAAATATGCAATTGTCCTCCACTATCGTGCGCCACGATTATTCTAAGTCATTTTGACGTTCCTTAAATAGGCATCACGCCGTCGGACATCGACAAGTATTCCCGCATCGTGTTCCCAGTATGCTTCGTCTGCTTCAATCTGATGTACTGGATCATTTATCTCCACATCAGCGACGTGGTTGCGGACGATCTCGTACTGCTCGAGGAAGCTAAGTAAACGACGATGTCGCGGCGCTTCGAATCAAGAAGAGAAAAGAGTAAAAGTGCAGGGGCAGAATCGAACACTTTATGCGAAAAAAGGACAAGACGAGAGCCGGTTCGTAAGAGAAAGGCGAAAACGGTTCGAGGAAGATGAATCGAGGCGCGCTTGGTAGCTACTCGGAGGGGAAAGGAGTAAAAGCGAACGACAAGCGAGACGGTTTGTACCAGCTCGCAGGCAGAAGAGCGCTTGTGTCCATCTCGAGAGCGCTGCAACTACTTCTTCACGACTACGAAGTAGTAGCGGACGAATACGGACAGTCACGCGGTCGCATTAGATTCGGAGTAAGACCTACTACTTACTCGCGATCACTGGAAAGTATAAAAGCGAACGCTTTCGTAGGGTCGCCGCGTCCGCTCCGAAAGAGACGTGGCTGACCAAACGCGCGTTCCAACTACTGCGCGGCATCGTGGCTACCGCGCTTCCTCCGGGCAGACGCTCTCGTTCGTCAATCAACGATCGAGCTCGCGTAAGCCTCGGCTAACGTCGCTCTCCACGAGGTGTCTTCGTTAAAGACTCGATATGTATAGACGTATCGCGCGATATGTAGGGATATATATCGCGGCGCGAGCGAAACGAGCAAGCGGAAGCTCAAATTTCGAAGGCGAATCTACGAGCATACATATACCATAAAACATTGCCAGGTATCTCTAGGTATTCCTAGTTCTTAAACGGAGAAAATACCTTCGATATAAACACTTGTCAATTTAGCCACCATTACATAGTAACGTTAACTAACGCTAAGGACAACACCGAGACTCGTCGGTTTGAAGCGACAGTTCAATCGAGAGCGGCTTGAGGGGAAAAATATAGGATTATCGACGTTCGTCGAGGTCGAGGATGAATCGTCGCTCTGTCACGTCGTCAGCAGCGCTCGTACGCAGACGGAGAAAACGTAGCGGAAATCGCGTGGTGGCATGTGTGTGCGTGCATGCGAACGAACGAACGAGAGAGAGAGAGAGAGAGTGAGAGAGTGAGAGAGAGCACGAAAGAAAAAGAGAGAGAGAGAGAGAAAACGGGGAAGAATGAACACAAGCGTAAATGTGTGCGTGAAAGCGCGCGCAGAACGAAGAAATGATAGACAGAAAAGTTCATATTCCGAATGAAGATAAACGATGTACTATTGGAGACTGGTGCGACTTATTATTTAAGTAAGTACAATATAAGTATATGTATATTAAAACAACACACATATTATATATATATATATATGCGCGCGTACGCGGCTGCGTTAGATACGCGCGCGCATGCATATTAGATACGTGCGTGCACACGTGCGTACGCAGAACGTGTACAAACGATCGATAACCGAGATCTACAAAAACAAGGCAGAGAGGCAAGAAGGGAACTGCGCGATACAGGACGCCCACGACGAAAGCGGCTTCGATTTTACGGTAGCGGCTTCTTCTCAGCATCCGCATTTATTTGGATTATGGCCAAGTAAAAGCCAAGTCTCTCCTTTCATTTCGTAGAACTTTTTTACGATTTTCAACGGCGCGACTTTTGTATTTTTCTCTGTATGACTCGCGCGCGTCGTCGCTACGTAAAATCGCGTAACTCTCGTCACTCATCCTCTCCGGGACGTCTTTTCTTTGTACGCGTGTACGTGCGTGTGCACGCGGCTCAATCGGGAGTACTCTTAGCTCGTACTACGTAGTCGCGACTGTTTACATAGGGACGTATGACGATTATAGATCGGACATAAAAACATTCCAATCGTGTCGGGAAAATCAAGGCAGATAGCGAACCAAGGCAGAATACAACTCTCGCTCTCGATACTCGTTGCACGATATCTATTTTTGCTTGAAAATAATTCTTGCAAAAGGACAATGAATATAATTAACGTAACGCGAATATACACATGTTATTTATAGTCAATTAAAATTGATGAATATGTCTTATTTGATTGATATAAATGGAGAGACGGAGAAATAATGAGAATACATTTTTTTTTTGTATAACCGCGATAAGTATCTTGTTACTTCAGAATACTGAAACATTTCTATCAAGAGTTTTATATTTAAATTGTATGTCTTTATATCGCCTACGTGACGATAACAGTCACACTGAGTTCTATCGATTTAAATCGCAACTAATTCTGTCAATATCTTCTATCGACACTCACGTTTATACAGAAAATGGAAACCGCGAGATACAATTTCGCTTTTATCTACATGGATTACTTTTAGCTCCGAGCGTATAACGATCTTCTTGTTCCAAAGTATTTCGTTGCACAAACAATGTTTTTATCAATTTTAATTAACGTTGATTGCATGGTATTTTACTTGCTTCTTCCACTCGTTGCTCGCGCGTTTTGTGAAATTCTGCTCACCATTACAAACCATCGATCACTTACAAGAAGCTTCCAAAACATATACTCGGAGAGCTTCTTTCTTTACTTGATATACAGATTGTCCTGGTAACCTAGCATTTTCTTTTGAACATATTTGTAAGTTCTTCCTTAGCAAAGATTAGATTGAAAAACTGCCATTTTTTTACTTTTTTAATCGAGAAAATTATATATTTTAATAATTAAATTTTTAATTAAAATTTTGTCGATCTCAATCTAAAATTAATTAAAAATATTAAATTTTTATTATTTTAAAATTAATTAACATTAAAGTTTTATTATTATATTATTTTATTATTATCAAGTTTAACGTTTACTTTTCAAAAACTTAATTCGTTAAGTTCGTCAATTTCCAAACATTTGTAATATAAACAACAATTGATCGATATTTCATTTTAGTCGAACTTTTAATATTCGCGATTTAGGAAAAGCGCGCGGAGAGAAAACTTGTGGTACATTCTGTATACACATATATGTATACATATATATATATATATATATGCACGCTCTCTTTTTGCTGGTTTCTCTCTCGTCCTTCGGACCTAGCGGTTGACTGCAAGCTGGGCCATGGAAGCTTACCATTCAGGATATCGACCAGCTGACACGCCCAACCCATCCTCCGGACTCTTTCTCGCCCCTTCTACGTTATCGTTCTTACTCTCCCTCTCCCTATTCTTGTCCTCCATTCTACTTCGCAATCGCCAAATAGTCCGGTTATACCAGACGCTCTTGTCAGTCGCTCATTTAATAAGGAGATCCTTGCCTTAGTGCTCCGCGAGAATTTTTTATGAAAATAAGAATCCTTAGTCGGGGATTCTGCCTTGGACCGCTATCTTCAGATATTTGAGAGAAACGAAAGAGGGATAGTCGTATTCGAGCGTCACGTTCTGCCAATGTGAAAACGCGGTATCATGTGATTTTTATTAGATAACGTCAGTTATCTTTATCGATTCCATTATTAGAAGTTACGAATATCGGGAATCGACGACTATACGTAATTCATTTAGATACACTTAAATTCAATTAATAATATTTCTTTGGTTTAAAGAACGAAAAAGTATTTACGTCATTTTTATATTCCCGAAACGTGTGTCGTATTTGAGAACTATTAATCAAAACCTTTATAATTTTGATCGCGTTTCCTTTGCCGCAAATAAATATAGTAGTGAATTTTACTACGAAATTCTTTTCAACACGCTCTGACTTTTTGTATTTCTTCGCATATCGACGCGATTATACAACGTCCGACACAGACTTACGTCCTGTGTAATCACGAAGCACAGCTGCGATAATCCTTCATCATGGATATAATCAATCATTTGTGCGATAATTTTTATTTCGCGGACATAATCGATCGTTCGCAGCGACTTATTAGGCTCTCGCGTTTTCTTCGCTGAATACTCGAACATTCGATTCTCGATCGGTTCTCTCGGTCACGCGACAATGCAAATAACGACGGTGCGAATTATCGTGCGCGAGAAGGCGCAAATCGCGTGCCTGGCCCTCGTTCGTTTCTTTCTTCGATTGCGCTCGTACATAATATGTAAGTATCGATACACTTCCACGTCCGCCCCAACCGGAAGCATTGTGTGCAATTTATATAATTCTGTACATCCGTTATCTACTCGGAGTCTCTATAATAACGAAAGAAGAAGGAGAAAGAGAGGATCTAACTCGTTTTATCGTTGTGATATATTCTATGATAGCTATATGCATTTAATCGCGCATGTATAATGACGTACATATATGCGTGCCTATTGTTTACACCGAATCCTTAAGCCGGGCAAACAAACAGTGGGAATTGACGCGTCTCTAATGATCAAAGATAATGAAAAATTCTTCCCTAGATAGGTGCGTAATTAAGTATAAAGTAAAACAAACTATTTAACAAATATAATAATTATTATCTGCACGAATAATAAAATAAGTAACGTAATAAAAATGCTCGCATGTATCTCGCGATATAACGTGTAATGGAGTTTCGAAATCGCGAATCAGCAATGTTCCTTTCGGATACGCGATGTTAAGCCAATTTATTAATCGTTAATGTAATGTCATCGATGATGAACAATGCTTTCATAATTCACAATAATCAATTGCGAGAATTAACTCTTTAAGAACGATGATGCAAATTTACTAGTTTATTAGAAGTTTAATTTATATATTTATTACGATACTATAGAGAATATTTTATTATCACTTATGTAAGGTACTAACGTAAAGATAATTATCATAACGCTTAATTAAATTTCTGAATATATATTTGCCTTATTTTAATATCTATTCTTGCTTGAGAAGATAATTTAATGCTTTGAAAGGTTAGATAATGGAAAACTTGATAGCAGGAATATGTGTAATTCTCATTTATTTGCGATAATTTAATCGCTCAACGCGATTCCTTGTATCGAGTATTTAAAAAACTGCGTGCGTTAAATGTAAATCGACATACGCACATCGTATAGGACGCGCCAATTCCCCGGAGACACGCCACGGTCGACCATTACTATAATTAGCCTCATTGAAATTAGTATTACCTTCGTTATTATTTTTATTACTGTTAACATTATATATATGACCGTTTAAGAGAAGGTTAAACGATGATCTCTATTCTCTGCTAGGTTGAATACTTGCGTTATCGGCGGGTACTTATATATCGCGTATAACATTACCAAATAGATGAAATCGTTACAAAAAGAGCACCATCGACGCGCAGGCATCTTGAAATTTAATGAAAAGAAAGAGATAAAAAGAGAAAAACAGAACTATTAATATTATATAAATCGATCACCTTGTAAATACGAGTTTTATACAGAGCATTGTATTCGTTAAACAAAGAGAGTACCTACTGCGAAATAATATGTGTATATATATACGCATATATACATATATACATATTATATATATATAATATATGCAAATGTAGTGCACACGAAAATGTGACTGTTCGCACATATTTAGGTAAATCACTTTTAAAGTATAGGAAAAAAGAAAAAAAAACCAAAGTAGACTGGAAGAACGTCGGGGGGAAAGGAGGAGGAGGGTGAAGGGGATCGAAAAGACTCAATGCGCGTACGTTGATTCGTTCATTCGTTCATTCGTTCGTTCGTTCGTTCGTCCATACGTCCGTTCACAGCGTATATAGGTCATGATAATTGACAGTTCAAAATTAATTACTTGGCGACCATCTATGTAAAAAATGGCGCGTATTCAGAATATTTTCCGCGATCACCGATCGATCGATAAAAACGACTAGAAGAGTTAATCTGTGGGCTCGTATATAAACTTTCATATTTATCATTATGCATAGATAAGAACAAAGTGAACGAATTCTACGTGTGATAAAATTTTTTGTTAATGCATCTATGTATTAGACATTCGCAATCATTATTCATCCGCGGATGTAAATGTAAAAATTGCTCAAAACATGGTTGTCAAATTTTCAACAGATGTATATAAATCACACAAGTAATTTTGAGTTTTACAACAGAGAGAGAAATAATTGTTTGTAGATAATAATATATATCTAATATATTATAAGAGAGTTGACGCGCGCGTAGAAACATCTGAGGTTTCTCATGTAAACTATTCGTAAACAAATCTTACCTCAGATTGCATTATTTCATTTCATGACCAAATGATCGTAGTTGCGAAAAATTATCAACAAAACGTGCTCACGTCGTACAATCGTCGTTGCCGCGTATAAAAAAAACTCTTCTG